GCTAGAGCCTGTGGGATGGGACTCCTGTTTTATGTCCAAGTCAGAGACCCGAGAGGAGACCAGGGCTAGAAGAGAGAGAGTAAACACGTCCCGGGAACCTTGCTAGTGACTTAGGCAGCCATCCTGTCATCACCCGAGATCTTTGGGTGCAGAGATGGAGCAGCACAGTGGTCACCACCACGCAGGGTAGCAGCTCAGTGGGACCTTGGGGGAAAGGCCCAAGGGAGGACTCTGCTGCCTACTTACAATTATGAGATCACACACACACACACACACGAGTCTGCAGCTGCACCAGAGGAATCCTTTAAGGTTCTGAGAGAGACCTGACACCCCCTGGCCTCACCGCACTCCCAACAAGAAGGCTACAGATTTGAGCCAGTTGGAGATCATTCTGGAGAGGGTCTCAGGGATTTTAATTAGGTGCCATCATAAGCCTTATCATTAACGCTTCTAGAAGGCATTTACTCTCCGACAGACACTATTCTCCGGCTTTACCCGTATTATTTCATGTAATGAACAGAAGTAACAGGAGGCTGGTGCAAAGAAGGATGCCCTGCCCCCTTCCTGGGGAGCTCCAGAAGGAACGCCAGTCCGAGGGCCAGGGCTGGACAGAACTCTGGAGCGGCTCTTGGCTCTCAGGGATGGAGCAGACATCCCTGTGGCAGGAGCCCTCCCTGTACACTCCCAGGGGCTCCAAAGCCCGCAGGGAGGCTGGCGCCTGCGCGGGGCTAGACACTCTCCGCGGTCCTCACTTTATGAGCTCAACAGCCCTCCAGGCACCGTCAGATGTTCCTCAAGGGACCCTTCTCCATCCCGGTTGCTAGAATTACAGCCACAGGCCTGCACACCAGCCATAAGCAGGGAGGTCACCTGTGAAGCCCTCTCCTTTGAATGGGGTGGGAGTCCACGGCTCTTTGGCCATGAGGATTGGCCTTAGAGGGAAGGGATGCGGAAGAAAAGCTCAAGGATAGAATTAGTCCACTGTTTTCTGGGGATAACTCACTATTGCACAGACTATGTTTTGTAGTGTTTTACAGTTTACAAAATACATTAAGTATATTGAACTCTTAATCTTCACAACATCATTACAAGGGAAGCTTATCTGCTTCATTTTGTATCTGAAGTTTGGTAACTGGCCACGGTCATGAGAGTTGACCCAGGGCTCAAACCCAGGTCTCCTGGCTCCAGGTTGTCTGTTCTCCATCAATGCCTCGCCTGAGAGCAGATGGAAGCTTGTGGGAAGAAAGAATGAATGAACGCCTCCTCCTCAGCGAGACACCATGGAGGATATAGACGTGAATGCTGCTTGGTTTCAGGAAAACTGGAAGGAACTTCTCCTCTCTTCTCTCTCCTCTCACCCACCCCCACAACCAAATCAAGGTTGGCTAGCACCTACTGTTGATTTTACAAGAATAGGTGAATTATTTTTCAAACAGTGTCAGTGATACCTGAGAGCCAACAAAAGGATGGGGTCCCCCAGGGTGCATTTCTGAGGCTCAAAGTGCGGCTCCTTCTGCAAAAACATTCCATAGAAGCTCTTTCAATTCATACCACCAAGGAGATATTTGATTGTTTCCTGGAAATGCTAATAATGCAAAGCTCATAAATACTAATGAAACACTATAGATTAGCGGAGCTCAGCAAGTAACCGGGGGGAGCCTAGAAGAGAATTCTTCGATTAAAAAATAGAAAGAATACCTTTTAATCAAATTTTCCCCAGACTGGGTTCCCAAATGTTAATGAATACTTTCTTTGGCTGTATGGAGAGCAGACTCCAGTAAGTACCTTTAGGAACCCAGAAGTGAACTATTGACTTAGCTTTCTTTAGCTTGAAAAGAAATCTGTTTATTCAAAGGCTATTTCAGGTGCCACAGGATGGATGAGTTTGAGACAAAGGTTGGAAGGTGCAGGAGGACCAGTGACATTGAAATAAAGACACAATTCAAATGCACGCTTCTGTTTCATCCAGCCAAGCAACCCAAGTTGGAATCTGCTTCTCATATTTGTCTGTTGACATGATCCCTCAATGATATTAAGTCCCCTGGAATGTACGAGGCTCCGTGACATCCGAAACCTGTGTCTTTGTCCTTTATTCCTGAATCCTCAGTACCTAACACAGCATGTGGCACATAGTAGGTGCTCAATAAATGTTTGCTAAATGGATGAAAGGCTCACTTAAGACATTTTCCAGAGCTTTTCAGACCATGTTATCTTTCCCTTGAAGGGGGCAGCTCTGATCTCAACATTCTCCTCTTGCAAAGTCCTCCAAAGAAACACACACCCTACGAAGGCCACTCTCCCCTAGCCACACCCTACCGTCCTCCCCTCTCCCTGCCCCCGAGCTCCAGGCTCACCAGAAGGACCCCTGCTCTCCTGCCCATGTTCTAGAAGTTTCTCTGCCTGGAATCTGTGAATGTCCTTCCCACACACCTTTCTCTGTCACAATCCCACGCATCTCCCAAGGTGCTCTACGTCCATGAAGGCTGCCCTAAGAGCCTCCGAGGGCCTGATGCCCTTCCTCTCTTGTGGCTGAACCCAAGTGTGGGCCCCTGACTCACATCCGTTCCCCGCAGACCAGCGCGAGCCCTGCACAGGACAGGTGTCAGGCAGTGTGGTTTCTTGCTGTCTAATGTCAAGCACAGAAATGCAGTGCCAGGAGCACGTGGTCCCCTGAGAGTTTACGAGGAGGGTCCAGTTAGAGAAAAGCACCCAAAGCCTTCCGACAACACAGCAGGGTAAGCCCCCTGGATGGGCCAAAAATACGGGGCCGTATGAGGCTGAGGTCAAAGAAAGGTTGTGGTGGAGAGAGGAGGAGAGCCCAGAGGGGAGAGAGTGGTGTGAGCAGGAGCAGGCAGGGGCACGGCCCCGGGGGGGACGGGGGTGCCGAGGGGGGTTCTCCTCTGTGAAGAGCCCGTGGGCTTGATGGCGTGTGGACAGACCCGTGTCACACGATGCTCCCAGACCCTCGGGGCTCAGGCAAAGCCTCCGACGAGGAGACAAAACTCAGGATACTCTTCTTGGCTGCATGCTGAGCTTAAGTTCAGGCACCATATGCTTCCTATAAAGCCCCACTTGGGCAGGACTGGGTTCTTACTGTATGTATCTTCCTGCGTTTGTGAGGAATCTAACAATGGGAAATAAACCTCTTTGTAGTCTTTTTCTACTGCAGACTGGGACCAACATTTAAGTCAATTAGGGAAATAGCAAAGGATCATCAGGTTCTATAGATCCTGGGCTACTTGCCAAAAAGGGGTTAATTCCACAGGAAGGAACAGGACCAAGCCCTGTGAACAGCTCACGCCTTGGGGGTCTGGAGCCAAACCTCCCAGAATCCTCGAGGCCAGCTCCGCCCCTCACTCACTGTGCGACCTATGCCTCTGTCTCTTCAGCTGTAGGGCGGGGGAATAACTGTGCCTACTTCATAAGGCTATAATGAGGACTGGGTCAGTCGTGCACAGTGCCTAGAACCGTGCCTGGCTCACCTTACAGCAAGGTATCAGGCTCCACAGGCCAAATGGCACAGTAGCTGGTGCCAATTTGTACAACTGCACAAACTGTATAAATAATGTCATGAGGAGACGGGTCCACATGCCTGGGGATCAGGACGGAGATGAGGTGGGGCTTGGATGGGCACATGGGCACTGGGTACGTGAGACACTTATCAAGTATGTTATCCAAGGAATTAGACCTCCAAGACAACCGCTGGGACACCACGTGTCACACACCACCCAGATGTCACACACCACCCAGGTGTGACACACACATCTGCACTCCTGTGCAGGACACACACAGCCTGGAATTCAGAATGATTCTGGACCCAAGTCCCCCAGTGCCTCCCTCCATTAACCATGCACCATCCTGTTCCTCACTTAGAAGATCTAATTCGCATGAAGGTGATTTAGAAAAGTATTGAGTGAAATACAAACATGAAGTGATGCCATCATCCTTCATTCTTCTGCTTGCCTGGCAGCACTGTTCAGAGGTCTGGGTGTCATCACAGCCCTGCACGTCCTCAGACACGTCACCTCGCCACTCTGGGCCTCTGAGTCTGCCTCTTTGAATGAAAGAGTTGGTCTGGATGATTTCTAAGGTCTCCAGCCTAAAAAATCAATGACTCTTTGATCTTTGCATCCTC